TTTAACCATTCGTCTCTTCCAGTATCTGTGGCAGAGCCCTCCACCTGTCTTTTTATCTCGTTTACATGTAAACAGCCATTTAAAAAACTGCAACTTCCTTGTAGTGACGAGCTCCTTTGGTGGTGTGTCACTGTGAAATCGGATGATCTACTGACAGGCAGAAACGTGACTTGGGGGGGAAAACCACCTGTTTACTATTAAAGGAAAGGGTATGGTCTTTCTGCTTTGGGAACTGAGTCATTTTGGCTCTTGCTCTCCCCCATGAACTTGGAGTACCTCCTCTGAGGCTGAAGTTTCAGAGGTGCTAAAACCATATTCTCTTCAGCTGATGAAAAGGGAGGTCCAGAACTGATTCCTGTCAATAGAGGAGCCACAGTTAGAACCCACTGTGTGAAATATGAGCAGTAGCTTGCCTGTGCCAACACTGCCGGCTGGCATCTGCAAAGGTTTGGGATGCTGCTGCTTCGCTGTAGTTGCTCGCATTCATGTGTTACACAGCTTTATTGAGCCCCTGATGGTGACTCACGGTCCTGTGGTGTTGACTTCTGCTCAGGTATGTGGGTTCCTTCCCGCAGAAACGTTTGATGTGGTCGCAGCAGGTCTGAGTGATGGCAGATGGCTGCACCAAACAGGAGACCTGAAGTGGCAACACAGCAAGAAACTCCTGGACAGGATTTGCAGAGAGGGACCTGAAACTCGTCTACCCAAATTGTTACTCAGACAAACCCATCCTAAGACTGTTGAGTGTTTCCAGTCACAAAGCACTGGTAGCGTCCTCAGACATGGTACTCTGACACGTCACCTTCCTTTGGGCTCAGTGTTGTCTTCTGCTTTCCTGCACCTCTCTCTTACCCTTATCTGTCTGTGTCTTGTACCATGCATAAATCTTTTTTCCTCTTTCACCACAAAATTTGTAGCTTTTGCTTCCTGGTCTATGGTGACCTGGGAGCTGCTTGTAGTCCTAACGACTGTCTTTAGGTTTATATGCATTTTATGTCTGGCCACCACTGGCAGCTGCAGCTGGTGCTCAGGAGAACGTGAGACCAAGGCCCCTCCGTGCTCTCCCTCTCACAGAGCTGCCTGTGGGGAAAACCCCTGCCATGGCCAAGCGACCCTAGGGCACCCAGTAGCCCAGGAAGCAGAGCCAGGCCTCTCCAGGGGGAGGCTTTTTCCGGGCTTCGGGAGGTCAGTGGGTGGGATGAGGTGCTGCTGGCCTGTGTAGGCTGTGGGAGGGGAGCCACAGGACTTTTGCTCTTCCCAGCTGTGTAGAAAACCAGGGCTCGAAAACAGCCATTTAACTTCCAGAACTGTTTCTTTTCAGCTCATAAATTAAAATCCCCCTGTGAAGAGCCTGGGGCACCTTCCATCTTCCCACCCTAGTGATTCAGGGTGTTCCAGAGATGGACTCTCCAGGTGGATCCCACCTCACCTAAGAGCCAACACATGCATACAGCAGTGAGGAAGGTGACCAAGTTAGGATGGTTCTAGATCAGATCCTGTCTATTGTGCCAGCGATGGGAGTGGGTTAGGGTCTGGGGTCAGCACAGGGCACTGGTGACAGTGAGGGTCTCAGTTCCAGCGGCTGGGACAGGACCGGTAGGTGTGTCCCGGGTGCAGCTACTGGAGGAACTAGGATGAGTAAAGCAAGCAAATTGCAGCAGCAGCAGCACGCAAAGCAGGACTGCAGGTCACAGCCTGTGTGCCTGGTGCTGCCTGCGGGGAGCCAGAGTGATTGCATCTCCCACAGACACCATTAGTGGTGCTGGGGGTGGGGGTGTTATGTTTTAACAAACTTCAAGTGGGGGGGCCGGTTGGTGAGCAGGAGGCCCTGGGTCCAGGCAGGGTATCGGGCACAGGCTCATGCTGGATCTGGGGAGATGTGTGGCTGTGGAGTGCTCGTTGGGTAAAGGTGTCAGTGCGTGTGTGTGTGAAGGAACTGGCGCAGCTGGTGTGTAGGAGCCAGTCAGAGGGCTGAGGATGCACGTCAGGGTTATCAGATGGACAGAAGAGCTGTGCTGGTGCTCGGGGCATTGTACTTTCACTTCAGTCCTTACCAGCTGTAGAGGAGAAAAGGGACAGTTGTGGCCCCCCGTGAGAAGCTTCTTGAGGCTCCCTTGGCTCCAAGTTGGACCCACCTCTGGCCCAAGGCCCAGCCAATTAGTGATGGTGGCTGCACCTCTTCTGATAAGGTACTTGAGAAACCTGGAAGAGAGGGGTTGGTGAGGAGGAGCTGTGAGACACTTCTGCAAACACTGAGGTCAGGGGAAGAAAGGAGGAGGAGGAATGGGGTGAGGCACACTGGAGCAGAGACCCCCGTCAGCCCAGGGAGGGCACCAGGGGAGCAGATGCTACCTGCAGCCTGGTGAGGGCCCCAGGCTGGAGCGGGAGCTTTGTCCAAAGAATGCAGGGGCTGTGACACACTGGAGGGACGCAGGCTGGGTCAGCTCGGGAGGGGCTGCAGCCCCTGGGCAGGGCTCGTCCTGGAGAAGGTTCCTGGAGGACTGTCTGCCAGGGGACGGAGCCCACACTGGGGCAGGGGAGGAAGGCGAGGGGCCCTCCCCTGAGGAGGGAGCAGCAGGGACAGCAGGTGATAAACTGACCTCAGTCCTTGTCCCCTGCACCACTGCGGGGGGGAAGAGGGAGAGAGATCGGGATTAAAGCTGAGCCCGGGAAAAATGGAGGGCTGGGGGGAAGGTGTTTTTAAGATGTGGTTGTATTTCTTACTGTCCTACTCCAACTGGAACATTAACTGGTGGTGTGTGTCTCACTTAAAATTGATGAGTCTTTTGTCTGTGACCATCATTGGAGAGTCATCCCTACCTGTCCTTACATCCATTCTCAAGCCTTTTGTTTTGTTTTCTCCTGCCTCCCTCCTGGGGGGTGGTGGTGGTGGTGGTGTGAGATAGGGAATTAAAATAATTTCAGATTCATGGCGCAGGACTGAGGAGCTTGCGCCAAGATGAGGGGGCTATGCACGAAGACATACCAGGTTTTGATATTGTTGCTAAGATATTATCATCTGGCTCAAACAGAAGCTTCCTATTGTCCTTAAAGTAGTACAAATTAGCAATAGATCACCTAAAATCCTAGTACAAACTGGTCTTGCGGTTTAGTTAGGAGCCAGGGAACAACTGAGGCTGCGCAGAAGGACAAGGTAAAAAGTTCATCAGCGAGGAAGAGGAGATACTTCATCTATACGACCCCCACCCAGGAATTTGCGACCACCAAAGGAGCTCAACGCGCAGACGCAAGAGAAGGAGACCTAATTACCATGAGAAGCGAGGGGAGGCGGGGAAAAATTATGTTTATGTATAATCATTCTATGAATATGCATTATTTTGTAATATATAAGCAGGACGGGAGCTGCAAACGATGTGCATGCTTGTGGAGAAGCGATCCCCCATGCGCCCAGCGCTGAATAAACATACCTACTTTACAACTTCACAGTTGTAGAGTTTTCTTTCTCCGCAAGTCAGGGGGGAGAGAGGGAGCGATCGAGACCCCTGGTGCTCTACACTTGTCCCCTGGGCTCAGCCCGGGCAGCACGTTCTGTGCGAACCCTGGCAGCGCTGCAGGCAGCGCTCTCTGGGGCACTGCAGAGCTGGCCCTGGCGCTGCCCGTTGTAGCACATGGGGCCGTGTCTCCCGCAGACACACGCCAGCACAACCAGGGAGGAGAGATTGATCGCTCCCTCCTCCAGGAACTGCTTGCGGAGATTTGCCGCCTCTGTCCTGAGAGCTATCCACGCTTTATTTGCCCAAGTGTCCGAACGGCTCCTTCAGCCTTCCCAGGGACCACCCGCACCCTCGGAAGCGACGTCCCGCTCCCGGCGCTGTCCCCCGGCCTCTGCCATTGCCCGCGGCAGTCCCCGGGCCAGGAGGCCGCTCTGCAGCCGCCGCCGGACAGCCCCCAGCTCTTGAGAGGACGGAGCCTGTCTCTTATACA